AGAGAATCAGCGGAGAAACAATGGAGTGAATAGCCACCTCCTGTGCTGTAACAATCTGTGTCATGTACCCTTGGAAGGGAAGGGGTGACTTTAAGGACTTGTGATCAGAGCAATTTAGGTTCAGTGTGGAGTGTCGGTGTGGAGGTGGCAAAGAGGAGCGCAGAAAGCATTTCTTTTTGATCTGACATTATTGTGTGACTTTGTCAGTAGATTTCCTTCATCCTGTGATCTGTACATGGACCAACATTACTATCACTTTTCCATAGTTTGGAGTTTTGTTTCCAAGAAGAGAACTGATCAATTTCCTGTTGTATTGACAAGGAGAAGTGTCCCTTGGGAAACAGAGGCATGACAAACTGACCATGAATGCATTACATTCCAGCCTCGCAAGTGATGCTAGTCAAAACCGCTTGCCAATAACTTTAATGAAATGTTCAAGATTGTTAGGTGACATGACAGGTTAAATGTAGAGAGGGTGTTTCCCCTTGTGGGGGAATCTGGGAGCAGACAGCAGAATCTCAGAATAAGGAGACGTACATTTAAGACAAAGAAGAGGCAACATTTTATTTCCTCTCAGAGGGTGGTGTACTTGTTTAAGTATACATGAGCTCAGTTAGCTGGATGGATGGTTTGTAATGCAGACGGATGCCAACAGCATGGATTCAATTCTCTTACTGGCTAGATTCCCATGAAGGACTCTACACCTCAACCTCCTTAGCTGAGGCATGGTGACCCTCAGTTTATACCACCACCAGTCACCTCTCTTTCCAATGTGAGAATGGCCTTATGGCCTAGCGGGTCTATGATAACTTTATTGAAATAACTCAATGGAGGCTGGTATCTTGTCACCAATACATCCTCTCTTTATGTGTGGAGAGCCCTTGACACTGATCCAGCTCCCTCAGAGCCAGCTCTCAGGATGAACAGAACCTCTGACACTCCACTTTATATCTGTCAGCCAGGGCTCCCTGATTGACTCACATTAACATCCCCAAGCAGGGAACTCACATTCTGAGGTCTACCTGGCTGACCTCATTCCAATCACTATGTTTATCTTTAATGATTCTGTGGAATTCCACACCACAGAGGGCTGTTGAGGCTGGGTCATTAAGTACATTCAAGGCTGAGATGGACAGATGTTTAATCAATAAGAGGATCAAGTGTGAAAGGAAGGAAAGGGGCCTTGAGGATTATCAGATCAGCCATGAATGGTGGAGCAGACTCGATGGGATGAATGGTCTACTTCTGCTCCTTTCTCTTATGGTCTTATCCGAGGCAACACCCTCTGCACCCCTGCCAGTACAATCACATCCTTCCTATAGTGCTGTGGCTGGAACTGCACACACTACTCCAGCTGTGGCCTAAACAAACACCTGAACAGCTCAACATGACTTCACCCCTGTTGTAAACAATGCCTTGAATAATAAATCGCTCTGTATGTGTTCTTAATTATTTTATTAAAGTCTGGAATCTTCAGTGATTTGTTCTTCTGCTGCCTCCCCACTTCCACACCACTACCTGCCCTTCCAAGCTTAGCAACTATGGCCTCAGTTCCTTCGTCCAGATCATTTCTATACAACGTGAACAGTTGTGATCTTAACACTGATCCTGGTGGAACTCCGCCAGTCACCAGCTGCCATCCTGAAAAATAACCCTTTATCCCTAATCTCGCCCACATGCCAGTCAGCCAACCCTCTATGCATGTCAATAACTTGCCCCTAAAACCATGGGCTGTTATACAGCAGCCTGCTCTGTGGCACCTTATCAAAGGCCTTCTGCAAATCCAAGTAGACCACATCCAATAGCTCCTTTTTAACTAAGTTGTCTGTTGCCTCTTCAAAGAATTCTAACAGAATTATCAGACATGACCTCTGCTTGAAGAAGCCGTGTTAACTTAGCCCTATTTTACCATGCACAACCAAATACTCCGCAGTCTCATTCTTAATAATGGATGAAAAAATCATCCATCGTCCAAGGTCAGCCTAACCAACCTATAATTTCCCGTCTTCTGTCTTCGTCCCATCTTAAACAGGGTGTTATATTAACCATTTTCCTCTCTTCCTTCTCTTGCCCCACAGTAGGTATCTTATTCCTTGGATGAATTTTTGCTGTGCCTCCTGAATTACCCTCAGAAACTCCAGCCATTGCTACTCCCCCGCATTTCCTGCTTGTCTTTCCTTCCAATCAACTCTGGTTAGCTCGTCCATCATATCTTTGTCGCTCCTTTTAGTCAACGGTATTATTAAATCTAATTCCAGCTTCTCCTTCTCAAACTGCAGGATGACATTGGTCATATTGTAGTCACTGCCCTCAAAGGCTCCTTCATCTTCCGCTCTCTCATCAAGTCTGCCTCATTATACATCACCAAATCCGGAATTACCTATTCGTCTGTGGGCTGTACCACAATTTGGTCTGAAAAAAGTCCACAAATTCATTTTCTTGGAATCTGCTGCCACTCCAACTTGCCCAGTTCACCTGCAAATTGAAGCCCCCCATGATTATTGCAATAGTGCCTTTCTTAGATGGCTTTTCTATTTCCTGATTTATTTTCTGTCTCGCTTCCTGACTACTGCTAGGAGGCTTGCATACAGCTCCCACAGGACCTTTCTTTTTCTTTGCATTTCCTCATCTCTGCCTACATGGATTCTACGCCTTCTGACCATATATCACTTCTTGCTATTACTAGCAAGATTTCCCGGTCTGTTCTGCCTATCGGCTTGTCCTTTCAATAGGAAATGTATCCTGGGATATTTATTTCCCAGCCCTGATCCCTTTGCAATAACATCTCTGTGATACTCGCAACATTGTAACGACCAAACCCAATCTGAGCTCCAAGCTCCTTTGCCTTGCTCCGTGTGCTGCGCGCATTTAAATACAACACACTCATTACTGCGTTGATTGTCACGCTTCTCATACTTGTCCTTGATCTGCTGTGCCTGAAATTAGATTACTGACCCACTCCATACTCTGTCTCCTATTATTTGTTCCGGAAGTCTCATAACCTCTCATGAGCCCTCCCCCTTCAACTAGTTTCCAGTCCTTGTGATCACACTATTTACTTTTTCCGCTTGCAACCTGATCGCAGATCGATTCAGGTGGAACACATCCCAATGGTCCAGCTCCTTCATGTCTCAATACTGATGCTAGTGCCCCATGAAATGGGACCCCTCTTTTCTGCATCACTCCTTTAGTGACACTGTTATTTCCCAAATTTTCTTCTTTGTATGCCAATTTACATGTTGCTTGGATCATAACCCAGATATTATAACACCTGAGGTCCTGCTCCTTAATTTGCTTCATAATTCCTGATATTGCCTACACAAGACCACTTATTTTATTTATTTTATATTGATACAAGGGACTAGATGCTATGTTTGGTTAAACGCAATAAGTGATTCAAATGAAATAACCACATCTCCTAATTGTAAGTGAATACTGATACCTATAAAACAAATGTAAATTTTTGATTGCAATGTGTGAGATACTCTTAAAATAATATTAAGGTTTAAATCGGATGGAATGTATTACTTGGATAGTCCATCATTGTGGAAATGGCTCTTGAACATCTGCTTGAAGAAAATCAGTGTAAAAAAGTGCCTGAGTGTCATCCGGTCAGTGACAGAAACCCAGGGAGTTGAATGACGGAAAGTTCCTGTTACATGAAGCTCAGGACACAATCAGATCATCAATGATCTTATCGAATGGTGGAGCAGCTTTGAAGGGCTGAATGGCCTCATGATGCACCTGAATTGTACGGCCCCGTGCTTTTGAAACACAAACGACCCTGCCCGGCTTTGTGTGTCATATACTGGGACAAACTAGTCTTTTCCTGATCCTGGAAATTGTTTAGAACATTATCTGGAGCATTCCATCAATGACATAATCCAGAAATCCAGAAATTTCTCGAAGTGGAATTCTCCAGGACATTCTATAATCAACATTTCCCAGAACATTCCAAAACTGACATTCTCCAGAATATTCCATAACCGACATTATCTTGAACATTCTGTAAATGACATTCCCCAGAACATTGAATAACTGACAGTCTCCAGAACATTCTATAACAGATCATCTCGAACCTTCCATAACCGACATTCTCTAGAACATTCTATACCTGACACAATTTATGAATGGCCGGATGTCAGTTAATTGATCAAAAGATAGGATCCCGAGGGAAGAGATGCCGTTCCAGGGAGAAGGAGACACTGTTTCCAAGTCCCACAGACAGTTAAAGGGGTGAATATGTTTTCTCTGCATTTACATTTCTTCACGACAGAGGATCGAACACAATTTAGACTAAAAGACAGAAATCTCCTACCTTCGTACGTCTTCAAGGAACTGGAAGAGAATCCTTCAGGGCGGCAATGTTCTCACGCTCCATATTAGGAACTGTAAAGGAGTGACCTGTGTCTGCTCTCAATTGATCGAGTGTGTGATAATATTCTAGAAATCATCTGTTCTTAAGGATGTGTGTCTGTGTGTTTGGGGAGGGAGTGTTTCTTCTGTTTTACATCACATTTTTGTAAGTAATTCAGAACTTACCATTTGTCATTTTAGCTCCAATTATTTCAATAAATCTCTGAATACAGTGACAATTTGAAAATCTCATTCCATCCTCAATCATAGAATCATAGAAATCATCAGAGAAACCTTACAGTGTGGAAACAGGCCCTTTGGCCCAACAAGACCACACTGACGCATTCCCCTATAACCCACCTAATCTACACATCCCTGAACACTAGGGGCAATTTAGCATGGCCAATCCACTTAGCATACACATTTTTAGACTGTGGGAGGAAACCGGAGCACCTGGAGGAAACCCACGCAGACACGGGGAGAATGTACAAACTCCACACACAGTCGCCCGAGGGTGGAACCGAATCTAGGTCACTGGCGCTGTGAGACAGCAGTGCTAACCACTGACCCACCGTGCCGCCCTCCCAAACTAGTCAATTTACCTCCAGGCTGACGTATAATTTGTTTGTTTATCTTCTTCACAGTTAACGTTGTGACGATCTTCGTCCTGTTTTATAAAGATTGTGGATTGTCTCCATGTGTCAGTCGTTACCTGGTGGCCATGGCAGTGATGGATCTACTGGTCATTATCCTTGACCTGATGTGGAGACACATTCCAATTGTTTATCGGGAACAGGTTTATTTCTTGTTGTACATCCCTGTGTGTAATATCCACGCTGTCCTCCTTTATGCAGCCACTGACTGTTCTGTCTGGTTCACTGTCACTTTCACCTTTGATCGATTTGTGGTCATTTGTTGCCAGAAGATGAAAAGTAAATATTGCAGTGAGAAAACGGTGGCTGTGGTTCTGGGAACAGTGACTGTGCTGAGCTGTTTAAAAAACATTTTCTGGTATTTTATGCTCACAGGTCAATATTTGCTGGAGAAATCCCCCCAGCTTTGTTATGTAACAATAACAGTTCTTTACTCTCGTGTCTGGGTTACAATCGAGTTCCTCCACAACATTCTAAACCCAGCTCTCCCATTTCTCCTGATTCTGCTTCTCAATGTTTTCACCGTCAGACACATTTTAGTGATGAGCAAAGCCCGTAGCAGACTCCGGGCTCACACCAATAGGGATGGTCAGTGTGACACTGAAATGCAAAATCGAAAAAAATCCATCATTTTACTGTTTGTGATCTCGGCCAACTTCATCCTCTTATGGTCAACGTTAATGGTGTTTTCCTTGTGGTATCGGATGTGGTTTATTGGGTATGACGCTATGTATCTAGATTATTTTGTGCGAGACTTGGGCTTCATGCTGCAGCTCCTCAGTTGCTGCACAAATACTGCGATTTATGCTGTGACCCAGGCTAAGTTCAGACAACAGCTGAACAATGTGCTGAAATATCCTTTTACTCAAATTAGTCAATTAATCAAATTGATTAATTAATCAATTAATCAAGGATTTTCTCTTTTAGTTCAATGTTTCAGCAATGAAGCGGCCTGTTGCTATGATAACAGACTGAGGGTAGTGCTGGCTTGTCCAACCTTATCCCATAGGGGGTTATAGGGACACATTTCAATGTTTCTCTCAACTCAGGGATCAGTGAGAAAATGCACCATTCCACTTCCTACATCTGTAACGTCAATTTGCAAATAATAAAATTGTTCATTCAAAATGCCAAGCAGTAGAGCGAACCATATTTCATTTGATTATTGTGTTGAAGAAGCTGAGCTGGAGAACCCAGGTTCTGGTACTCAGGGGATAGGGGCTGAGCTCAGGAGTTGGGATTAAGTCACTCTGTCCTTGGTTTCAACTCTGGGTCACCTGTTCCGACCTGGCCCTGGAAGAATTCATCTCTCTATCCCTCCCTTCAGCTCTTGCAATGCACCTCCCCACGTCATAATTTCCATCTCTTAATCCCGTCTCTCACGCTTTCCTCCCACCAATGTGCACCCCCTCTCTCTCTCCATCTGTCCCTGTCCCTCTCTCTCCCCCTCTGTTCCATTCTCTCTTTCCCTCCATCCTTCTCTCTGTAACTCAGTCTCTCTCTCTCTCCCATTCCGTCTATCCTTCTGTTCTCCCTCTCCCTCTCCACCCTCTGTCTCTCTCTGCCCGCTCTCTACCCCTCCCTCTGCCCCCACTCTCTCGGTCCCTTGTGCCCCT